CAAAAACATACAACAGCGGGGATTCGCTAGTGGTCACCCACCTAACTACTAATCCGCCGGTATCATGCTTGTATATGGCTGAGCGGACGGGAAGCCTAATTTTCATGATCCTATGGTCGTATGTGAAAGAGCAGGTGATTTGGATCAATATATTGCGAGTTGAACCCAATGGCGATCTACTGGAGCGTTAGCGGCAGCTTCAGATGCGAGAAGACCAGTATGTCACCAAAAATATACACGCGGATCCCAGTCACGTTGTGCTCCATGCTGTAATGAGATCAATTCTTCAAGCTGTTGTGTCATCTTATCAAGCCACCCGTAGATGCGCTTTAACCGTAACTCCGTCGCTGAAGATGCAATGCAGGTATTCCTCTCCTTCTCATACGCCGCGTCCGACAAATGTTTCCGCTCCTGTCCTTGGACGATCCCCCATTTAGTCCTTAGGAAGCATATCCTGCTCACTGCCGTCCCTGGGCACGTAGTTGATACCCGCGCTCTCTACCGCGCCAATCACGTCTTCCGGGAGGATACCCTCAACCTGGGTCGCGTAGACGCCCGGGACGTAGCCCTCCAGACGCTGATATCTGGCAACCCAGCTCCTTGATGTATCCGCGACAGTGATGAGGCCTTCGAAAACCTGCGATGTGCAGTCGTTGATCTGCTCGGGGTTGCCAGCGAGCTCGATGATCTCTTCGCAGTTGGGGCAGCCCTGGGTGAGGAACTGGTTCTGGGTTCGGACAATGGAGCAGACCATGCAGGCCCGCATGTTGCGCTGCTGGCCTGGCGGTATGTGCGCACCGCCCTGGATCATGTTCTGTGCCATCTCGGATTTCTCGACGTTGGGACGAGGGTTCGCGGGCGGCTGCTGACCTAGCTGATGGCGGGTTTTAGATGTGACAGCGGGGCGCTCAGTAAGACCGGGGAGATTGGCGTCTAGAGCAGAGTTGTCGCGACCTCGACCTGCAGCGCGCGGACGTGTAGGAGGATTCTGAGGAGGAGTATGGGGCTGCTGTAGAAGCTGTTGATGGTGAAGCGGAGTCTGGTTGTCGAAGATGGATGTAGGCGACCCGAAATACTCGATGGGAGGACGGAGGTCGTTGTCGAAGCTGACAGGAAACAGAGCGTCCGCAAGTGTCCTACTTTGTTCCACGGTTCCGGAAGCTTGGCGAGGCTGTCGGCGCTCTGGCTGTGGACCTGACTCGGGCACCGCTTTAGAGAGGTTTAGTCGCTCACGCGAGGCTACGGGATCGACATTCTCCAACTCGTGCGCAAAGTATGGCTCCTCGTTTGCCCTGCTATTTCCTCGGGGACGTGTAGTAGTGCGAGGTGGGGTGACATCAGGCTCGACTTCGTCGCCGTCAGAGTCGACGGTGATGTAGCGATCTTTAGGTGTCTTGACCGTTGCCCTACCCTTGCGCGCCATGATGTCTAGTCGGAGCCGAGGTCTCTGGTTGGTTGGGCGTTGGTGGAGGCGTTTAGCGGCAAGGCCAGGCGATGGCGGGACAGACTCGTTTGATAACTTTCGGCGGGCAGTGCGGGCGACAGGTCACCTTCATTTTGTTGCCGTACGTCACTGGTTTGCTATTCAAATCTCTTAACGCGCAGGGACGCAGCTTCCCTCCCGTCAACCAACAGGTGCACCAGCCCGTCGCGCCTTCTGCAACTACACCCGCTGCCCGCGTGCCTCGCATAACCCAGCTTGTCCCGCACTGCGTCGATACATCATGGGTGCCCCGACCGACGAAGCCACCAAGCTCAAGGACCAGGGCAACAATGCCTTCAGGAACCAGGAATGGGACAATGCCCTTGAGTTCTACACCAAAGCGATAGAGGCATACAACGCAGAGCCCTCGTTCTACACCAACCGCGCACAAGTACACAGCCCACCTGCGCCTCGCGAGCATGTACTAATCTATCCTCCAGACATACATCAAACTCGAACAGTATGGATACGCTATACAAGACGCCGACACGGCGATTGAATTGGACCCAAACAACGTCAAGGTACTATTGTCGCAAACTCATATCGTCATTATGACGCTCATCGCAGCACCAGGCATACTACCGCCGCGCCTCAGCGAACACCGCCATCCTCAAGCACCGTGAAGCGCTCCGCGACTGGAAGCTCGTCGTCAAGAAAGCCCCTAACGATGCCAACGCAAAGCTACGCATGGCCGAGTGCGACAAGGTCGTCAAGCGAGACGCCTTCCTCAAGGCCATCGAGGTCGAAGATGCGCCGTCGGCAGCAGAGGGCCTAGACTTGGAACACATGGCCGTAGACCCCTCATACAATGGCGCAAAGCTGGGAGACAAGATGACACTGGAGTTTGTCGAAGACATGATTGAGCGATTCAAGAACGGAAAGAAGCTGGCCAAGAAGTACGTCTACCAGATCATCATCGCAGTCATGGATATTGTCAAGAAGGAGCCCACCATGGTCGAGCACGATGTTGCAGATGGGAAAGAGATCACTGTCTGTGGTGATACTCACGGTAGGTCCCAGGCAGAAGGAGTGGATATACTGCGTACTGACAAAGCTAGGCCAATTCTTCGATCTCATGAACATCTTCAGCCTCGCCGGCAAGCCCTCCGAAAAGAACGCGTTCCTCTTCAACGGCGATTTCGTCGACCGAGGCTCTTGGTCCACCGAGATCGCCCTGCTGCTTTACGCCTACAAATGGCTATACCCCGATAGCTTTTTCCTGAACCGCGGAAACCACGAGACGGACGACATGAACAGGATGTACGGTTTCGAGGGTGAATGCAGGGCGAAATACACCGAGCGGGTCTTTAAGCTGTTCTCGGAGTCCTTCTCCGCGCTTCCTCTCGCCACCCTCATCGGCAAGAAGTACTTTGTGCTCCACGGCGGCCTCTTCTCAGACGACAAGGTCACGTTAGACGACGTGCGAAAGCTCGACCGATTCAAGCAGCGTCAACCAGGACAGTCTGGGCTCATGATGGAGATGCTTTGGACCGACCCGCAGACAAACCCAGGCCGTGGACCTAGCAAGCGCGGTGTCGGTCTGCAATTCGGACCCGACATCACCAAGCGCTTCTGCGAGAACAACGGCCTCGAGGCTATCATTCGGTCGCACGAAGTACGCATGGAGGGTTACGAAGTCGAGCACGATGGACGCTGCATCACCGTCTTCTCGGCACCCAACTACTGTGACAGCACCCACAACAAGGGCGCTTTCATCAAGATCGGCCCAGAGTACAAGCTCAAGTTCACCCAGTTCGACGCTGTTGCGCATCCGAACATCAAGCCAATGGCCTACGCGTCAAGTGGCATGGCCGGCATGATCTAATGAATATGAAGTAAGTTGGTTCAGTCATTGTTCGCAGCGATGCATACTTGGGTGTTCTTCGGCGCATCAGCATACTCGGAATTGGTTGGGGCTGTGTTTGATCTTTCAGGATTGATTGGGAAGGAGCGCTGCTATACGAATGTACTATAGAGCCTGGATGAAGGCACAATTCCGATATCGATGTACACGAAAAGCATCGAGCAGAAATATAAGAGCAGAACATTACATCCTGCGCGTCTGACACGCTATCTCGGGTAGCGCGTGGTAGATGCGTTGCCCCTCACACGCGGCCCCACGTGTTGCATCCCAATGCGGCTAAGTCTGTTGACAAACATGGGTCGTCCTCGCCTTCCATCTCATCGCGTCCGCCAACCTGCTAACAAAGCGCCCTTTACGCCTGATCTCGCCGTAGATCTCTGACACCGGCACCCTGTCGCATCCCTCATTGTTTCTACATCAGCAATGTGAAGACCAATCCACTTGCGCAATCACCATGTCGCCGTATCAACAAATCTTCTCCACCAACGCCGTCCTAAGCGTCTGGCGCAATCTTCGCAATACCAAGGATAACAACGACCTTCTCCTCGCATTTCAGTACCACCAAGATGACAACCGCGGCCAGAAGGGCAAGAAGTATGCCAAGGGTGGCGTCGTGGAACACTCGCAAGAGGTCGCAGATGGAAAAGCGATAGACGTTGGTGGCAAGAGCATTGGCTTTGTTGTGCCATGGCGGGCCATGCAGGCTCAGAGACGCGAACTGAAGGAAAAGGAAAAAGAGCTCGCTGAAGCACTAGTGGCACTGGCTGGAGAGGTTGCGTTTACGGGTATGTATCTGGGACGGTGTTTGAAGTCTAATAAGGTATGCGCATATACTAACTGTTCACGATAGATCTCTCTTCCACCCTGCAGTCTTCGCTCACGCAAAACCCTCTCATCCAGATCCGCCACCTTGCCGCTGGTCTGTCCCGTCAGATGTCGAAGATAGAGATACAAATGGCCGACAATGCTCCTTTTGCAAATGGAAAGAACCTATACACCGGCGGCGAGATAGCGCAAAGGTTTCTCCCGCCGATACAAACACTCTTCCAACAGCGGCCTGTACCCCAGCGTATGAGCTTTGAACTGCTCATGGAGCTGAAAGACCTTATCTACATGGGTATGGCAGGCTGTGAGAAGGAGGTCTTGGAGTGGGAAGTGGATGGCGCTGCGATTGGAGCGCTTGAAGAACTGGACGACGCGATGGTCAGAGCAGTCACACCAACAGTCCCAGCCATCGAACCGGAGCAACGAAAAGAGGCTGAGACTGGGCCCAGGCGTATACTGAGGCGCAAAGCTTCGAGCCTCATCTCGAACTCTGTTGTAGTGCAACAGCCCGTATCATTCCTGCTTGCAGCGCCAGAAGAACTCCTTTACAGTCTCGAATCGCTCGAAACGACAGCGCTCGCGCTTACACACCTCCCACTCCCTATACCCGATCTCTGCGCACACGCCGTTATAACCCTACGCCGTCTCACACCTCGGCAAACTCTCACAGACTTCTCACAGCAGAAGAAACGAAGGAATGGCCGGTGTGCAGAGTTCGCGCGTTGTATGAGGTGGGCTGGTACGCAGTGGCGGCAAAACGGCGGATGTAGGAGAGGTTGCTTGAACGAAGACGAAGATCCCGAAAACCTTCCTAGCTGGCATAGAAGTAGTCGCTGGTTCGATGAGAAGGGCAGTGGGACATTTATGGTCGGTGGAGGAAGGGCGACGCCGAAAGACGATGGATTCGGTGTGATCAAGATGACGCCTTCGTAGGCAGCCCGCGGTGGGTTTTTGGGACTGTTTGGAAACTGGCGTTATGGATTTACATGTACGATGGGATGGATTTGGATGATACTCGGCGCAAAGATACCCTTTTTTGATTTCTTGGTATATATATGGTAGAACCACCGCTTCTGTGAACACACCGATGAAGCCTTCGGAAAAGACTGGAGGCATTGCTTCGTCTATATATGGCGAGAGAAAGTGCACAGTCACTAACACGGACAGGAATGCAATGTACTACGTAGTCATGTTTGAGATATCTCGATTTCTTTGTACCTTTGCCTCCTCAGGTCGCACGAGACCCGCTCTTCTTTAGTTCACGATAATGTTAAAGACCCAGTTAGGAGTCAATCGGCTGTGGGTCATTAAAGACTCCAATCTTGGGTGGATCTGGCATCTAGCGACCATGCCGGAGCCTACCGCTCAGATTACACTTGGGTGTCTCTAGTGGTGCATACAGTCATTCAGGTATTGGCAAGTTGCACATTCAGAGGTTCGCCAGACTCATATGCTATGGTGAGTCTAAGTCGAAGCGCGAGAGAACAGTCACTGTGTGACGTTTGTCGAGTATAAAAACCGGATGTTTAGCACAATATCCTACTTCTCACAGCACATCTCTACTCAAGCATCCATATCAACCAACGACGACCACAGTTTCCCGAAGTCTTCATCCACAGATCCAACCCACTTCCATCCAGCAAGTCAAAATGACTACAGGCATTCCCATAGACGATCCCCTTTACAGAGCCCCTCCGCCCATCGTAGATGTCGAATACGGAAAGCCCTTCTACTTTACGAATCCCGCGCAAGGTCTCGAAATCACAGATCCCTTAGTAGGAAAAGGAGTTCGAGAAAGTGGCATCAATGGCTCGAAGGTCCTTCAAGACTCTACCACCAAAAAGACATATCTCTGGCAGAACAGCCAAGACCCCGCGGAAGAGACCAGCTATCAGACATTTGTCGACACCCGGGAGAGAGACAACTGGAAGAGATACACCGTTGTGTGGCGATGGATCAGGTGCGGACCGAGGCTGTGCGGGAAGGTCAAAAACCCAGAGGATTTGACGTGCCCATGTGGATGGAGACTGCTTATAGACGCTAAGCCGCCTGGGTGGAAAGTGGGGGACGGGTTAAAGGCGGAGACGGAGGGATGGAAGAACGATGTTAATCCCTTCGCTATGGACTACACAGGAGATGCCGTTGGCGACTGGGAATTCGACATGGTGGACGGTGTTTTGTGCAGGAAGCAGATTTCTACCGACAACGTAGAACAGGTGGTGTACAGTCAGGTACCGGTTAAGGGTGGTTGGATCGGTCGGTGGCCGGGTATTCAGTAGTCTGGGCTTTCGGTTCAGTGGTTCTTTGGTGGCACATATATTGAACTCTTTCTTGTGGAACTAAATTGGTCGATTTCTTCTCGAATGCTACATGTATCGTCTTGAGGCTGTGTACTAGTACCGTACTTATGCACCGATACAAACGCCAATATGTTTTGGCGTGGGCTCAAGCCGAACGAAAGGCCTCACAGTCTCCTCTTTTTTCTGAGCCTTGCTCTTCGTCGCGGTTACTTAGTTCTTATTAAACGCGTAGGCGTTATCACTGAATTACGACTCGAATGAGCCGCTGTCGTGGGTTTTGTAGATCTCTAAACACGTTTTCATGGCCGCTACGCGAACGGCCTGCATACTGTAATTGGATCTAAAATTATGTGAATGAATAGGTGTGATGAGTAGAAGTCCAGGATTGTCCATTAAAAGCTCGCTTAGACTTCGTGATCGTAAGCTCAGGGGTCTTGGGCACGGGTCGTAAGCACGTTCTATCTGTGGATTGCTCACTGCATTGCTGTCGGGTCATTGGGGAGCAAAATAACTTCGTCTCAGGGTCCTTCGTCACATATGATTTTCAGATCTGCTCCGTCGGTACTTGGTCGCGTGGATCATAGCGCAGCCTTCCGGAGTGGTGTTGTCACTTATCGGAATGTACAACCTACAAACGTTGGTGCGCCCAGGACATTGAACTTGCGTTACATTGAAAATCAAACCAGGATGAGTATAAAATCTAAGGCGAAAAGGGGGAGTTATTATAAGAGTAAATCGAGTGGCTTACGGTATTCATGGTGACCATGCTCAGCCGCAGTGTGGCTTTGAGGGGGAATTCTCATTGGTGTGCTCGCATGCTTGGCCGGCAAGAACACAGTCCCATAGGCGGCAGTGCAGAGCCTTGCTTACTGCGATAATATAAGTGAGCCATTCCCCGCAGAATTACGGTAGTGGGCAAAGATGTCAGACGTTGAGCTATCTTCCCAGTATATACCAGCATCCACCGATCCGCTCAACGAAGATGCCCGAAAACCGGTTACGACCCAGGCCAGAGTTTCAATCGTGCAGGATCTGTGGCCAGACAGTGGGACGCTATCATCAAAGAAGCTTCACCTTGTGTGGGATGCATACTTCGAAGTTTACACTCGCGAGTGTAATGCGGTGCTAAAAGGACGAGACTCCAACCAATTCGTGATAAGGCACGGAGACCTTCTGCAATTCATACACCTGCTAGAAGGTACAGAAAAAGAGGAAAACAGAAATGCAATTCGGAGCAAGTTAAGAAGCTCAAAGATAGCAGAAACGATGTTTCCGCAGCTCATGTCCGTAAGAGAGAGTCGCGTTGAACAGGCAACGATAGACGATTTGATCGTTTTGGGTGCTCGAATCCTCACAATGACCCTAGTTGGGCAGGCTACATCATCTCACAAAGTACATCCGACAAGTATATTACCTTGGGACACAGGCTTGCTCCAGAACGCAGTACACACCTATTTCAACCAATCACCGGACATACCACTCAAAGCCAAGGATGATATCGTCGGAGTGGGTCTGACCTTTTACAACATTGAACGGGTCTCAGGAATTAAGATAATACCGACGCATAATTTGCTCGATCATTTGCTTCTTGTCGACGAAGATAAGAAGCTGTGTGTATTCCACCATGCGTCGTTTTTGAAACGAATGCAAGCCACACAAAGGTGCGTGGCTTGATAGTCGGAGTAACGAGTAGCAACGCTGACTTTGTACCCACGTAGTCCACTCTTTCCAGATGGTCTCATACAGGAAACCCTGAATACGCTCGGCATTCTGCTGCCAGAGCTGGATCGCACTTCGAAGCGTTGGATGCTGCGTTTCTGCCGAGCGCACAAGGAGATAACAGTGGATTCCGAACTGGCAAAATGTGGCCACTTTCCATTCGAGCATCCGTCCAGACGTTATGAGCGATTCCAGTTCTGGCGCGATCGACTAATGTTGCTAGAGGAGGCCGTGGAGTATGCCGTGCCACAATCCAATAAAATGATGTCCAGTCTGCAAAAGTCTAATCAGCAATTGTCTAACTCAATACTCAAGGCGATGGAAAGTCAAAAAGAACTGTTGATCAATTCACGGTTAGCGGTCGTGGCGATAGCAGTTACTCTCTTCTTCGGGCTGGTACAAAGCATTGAGGGCGCCATGCAGGTATACAAAGCATACCATCCAGAAGGGAACTCATCGTAAAGGCGATCTTCCTGGGTCTCGAGAAGGGGCTGAATACGAGGGGGAAACTCGTGTGATGAGGGCTGTAGACTACCACCAAGATTCTCGCCGAACCTACATCCCTATGAACCGTTATCTCGTATTCCAATTCTGAAGTGGCGCAATTCGGCAAGCCGAAGGAAACTGTACGCGACAAGAACCGGCGCGTAGAAAACACGAGTGGCGCAGTGGGACCTCCACCTTAGCGTCCCTGCGGCTAACCTAGCGCCGTCAACACAGGGTCCAAAAAAATCCCGGCTCGCAATCTCAGCCCATTCTGCCGCATGCAGCAACAAGTCCCTTCGCTACGCGAGCACTCCACCACTCCACCACTCCACCACTCCACCCCAAGCTCGCTGCAGTTGCCCCGCAAGAGGCGAACATATCGTCATCTGTGTAATCATAGTGGATACAGGCGACCAGCTTTGTCGCGGCGAACTTGATCTTCTAGGGAAGGTACGAGAGCTGCAAGAGTCGATTGATGGACCGGACGAAAATGTTGTTGAGGAAAGGGCGATGGGTAGCGTGGAGATAAGGATGCAGCCGGCCTGCAGCAAGCACATTTGCGGTGTCCAGCGCTGATTAGCATACGCTGGTCATGCTGACGTCATGGGTTCTCCGCGGCTTCCTTCGCGTGAGGAAGATCTTTGGTTGAGGGGTGGAAAGATGGGGAATGCGAGTTTGACAGCAATGATGCCAGACACCGCTCTTTTGTTGGTGTCTGTTGCGGGTCATTGTGATGTTCGCCTGGAGGCTGGGGGCGTGAATTGTGAGGAACGCTTTTTTTGAGTACCTGGATAGTATGGGGAAATCAGCAATACGATCAAGACACAGCAAAAGACGATAGTATAACGATCAAAGGCTGTAATTAAAATGCTATATAAAAACGCTCAGTATAACACTTTCTTTTTGGGAAACGCCAGTAGAAAACCCATCTATCATCTATATGCTTCGCATGCAATGCCAAAAAGTAAAGACCTAAAGCCTGGTTGAAAGCGACACAAAACGTTTGCCGCCCTGGGGGTATCTCTTTCTTTCAACGCACATTTAAGCGTACTTCTCAATCATAGCGAGAGCGCCCTCGCGCTCGAGGCCCTCCAATGCGGCCTTGAGCTCAGAGACGAAGCGCTTGTCGTCACGAAGATCGTTACCGAAGAGGGTCTTGATCTCAAGCTGGGCCATGGGGCCCTGGGCAGCGTAGGACTGGAGCTCCTCGACCATGGGGTCGTCGACGGTGAAGGCCTTGCCGGCGTCGTCGATGCCGCTGTTGTAGCGGAACCAGGCGGCGGCTACGAGAGTGAGGCGGCGGAGAGGTCCGTTGGCAACGATCTGCTCGGCAATGCTGGGCATGATGAACTGGGGGATCTTGCCGGAACCACCAAGGCAGATACGGGGAAGCTCGTCCTTGAGGGTGGGGTTGGAGAAACGGCCCAGGAGGGTGTTGATGTAGTCATCGACGCTGACACCGGGGATCTGGGGAAGGAGCGGCTTGACTTCCTGGTTCATCATGTTGATGACGAACTGGCGGTAGACGGGGTGGCCGATGACCTCGTGGATGTAGGTGAAGCCAGCGAGCTGACCGGCATATCCCATGGCGGAGTGGCTGCCGTTAAGGAGGCGGAGCTTGATCATCTCGTACTCCTCGACCTTGTGCACGTCGGGAACGATCTGGACACCGGCCTTCTCGAAAGGTGGGCGGCCATCGACGAACTTGTCCTCGAGAACCCACTGGTGGAAGGGCTCGGTGACAACGGGCCAAGCATCCTCAACACCGAAGTTCTCGGCTAGGCTGACCTTGTCCTCGTCGTTGGTACGGGGAGTGATACGGTCGACCATGGAGTTGGGGAAGGCACCGTTGTTGGCGATCCAGTCGGCGACCTCGGGGTTCTGGTGACGGGCGAAAGAGACCAGCATGTTGCGGCTGATGTCACCGTTCTTCTGCATGTTGTCGCAGGAGAGAACGGTGAAGGGGCGGAGACCAGCGGCGTGGCGCCTCTCCATGGCAGCGTAGAGGTAGCCGAAAACAGTGCGGGGTGGCTGCTCACCAGCCAAGTCGGCGGCAACATCTGGGTGGTCGGTTTGGAGCTGGTGGGTGTTCTCGTTCATGTAGTAACCGCTCTCGGTGACAGTCATGGAAACGATGTGGGTGTCGGGATGAGCCATCTTGGCGATGACAGCCTCAGCGCTGTCGGGAGCAAAGAGGTAGTCGGTGATGGAACCGCAAACGCGGGCAGTGGTACCCTCAGCGGCACGCTCGATGATGGTGTAGAGGTTGTCTTGGGGCTTCAGGGCATCGCGCATGGGAGCAGCGAATGGCTGAAGGTCAACACCGCAGATGGACCAGTCCTTCACGGCGAATTGCTCAAGAAGAGTGTCGACGTAGGCTGCGAGATGGGCTCGGTGGAAACCACCAACACCAACGTGGACAATGCCTTGCTTGACGCCCTCACGCTGGTAGGTGGGGACAGCGACATTCTGGAGTTGGGAGAGGTTCTTGCTGCTGAGCTTGATGGGAGCCGCGGGTGTTTGGCGCTGAGATGTGGTGGTGCCAGCGGTAAACTTCTCCTCCTTTCGTTGGGAGGATGTCCGGGGAGGAGCGTTGTAGACGTTGTTGTTCTCAGGTGTCCGGCGAACGGCCTCGGAGCTCTGGAACCTGAGGGCAGCAGGGCGGGAGGGCCTAGTGGACTGGAAAACAGCGCGGGCGCGGGCGGCGCGCAGCAGGTTCCTGGGGACTTGAGGAGGCATGGTGGAATAATGTGAGAATGGAATGAGAATACTGGAATACGTGGATGAGAGCAGAGGGAGATACGGTGCTCTAGTATTTATAAAGCGTCAGCCCAATCCTTTTTGTGGGCACATGCGTAGAACCTTGAGCATGGTGCCAAAAAAAGTCGGATTAGGGCCCCTATTTTTTCGGAGGGTCTAGACATGGTGGATTACACAGTATGAGTCGGGACTCGCAGGCTGATAGCCTGTGCTTTGGAAAACGTGGGTTGGCAAAAGGAGGCTGCGGCTTGCATTGTGTTGTGTACGTCGCGGCCTGGTGGTGCGTGCCAAAACGCCAAAACGCCCCAACTGAGCCGCAACACCTGGGCAACTTGACGACACACCCCGAATAGATTCAAACTTTTTGCCCTGACGCGTCTCTACACAAGACCCAGTTTTTAGACTGGACAGGGGTTTCAGACTTTGCGCTCCCGCTTCCGCTCGCAGATGGGGGAGCCACAATTGCGCCGTAGTGCCTGTTGGCAGGCGATTTTGTGCGAGGTGCACAACTATTGCGTGCTAGGTGAAGGATGTTCAAGGGACTACTGAAAAGGCTGTGGCTTGCGTCCACCAGAACCTCACCGCCGCCGGCTTGCGTGGGGGGTGCGGTCCGCCAGGAACACCGACGCTTGGAAGCATGTCGGCTGCGTCGCCGACGCAAGGCTTGCATCTTGCATCGACCAGACCGCGTCTTCACCCACCTTGGCAATAATGCAACAACCCCCAACGTCCATCGTCGTGGCGACTACAACCCGCGCGCATGGCCTCCGCTGTCAGCCTGGCTATCTATGCACCTGGGGTAGCGGGTCGAAGTTCGGGGCTGGGGGTTATCCCGACGCCCATGCGAATTAGACATGTCGAGACCGCCATCGTATCCGTGTTGAGACGATGCCCTCCGCCTCGCCTCCTCGTTTCCAGATTCTTCGATTCTGGATCCCCCCATGACTCGTTCACCGACTTGTCCTTCTGCGAGGATCCTGTCCAACGGCCACCAAAAGGATCTGCGGCCTGCAGCTGAGCCTCATGCATGCTGTTGCACGGCACATCATCCCCGCCATAGCTCTGCGTTGCAGCTATCAGATCGTCCTTAGCCTAAGCCCTAAGCATACCGACCGCCCAACGGAACTTTCTTAGCTTTTCCGCGCTACCTGTACCGCGTCAGTAGCGTCTCAACTGCCACCGGTAGTACTGCTTTCGCACAATCCGAGAGACGACCAGCTGTGGGCGTGGGGATGCGACCTTGCGACGCGGTCCTAATCTCCACCGGAAATCGCAACATCACTAACAAGCCCGAAGATAAGCCTCGCAGCGACCCACGTCCACGGTCCGGGCTGTCATGGATATTTCCAGGTTCCACAAGCCGCATGTCCTAGAAGGAAGGCAGTAGCGACCTTGCACCTTCTTCCCGGGCAGCCACCATGGAGACCAGCTGGTCCATGCCATGGGGGTAGTCCGGAGAATACCTCTCTCGGCAGAAGAGTTCGATGCGAGCTTAGCGGGCCGGCTAGACCCCAGCTCAGCAATGTACTCATTTGCTTTTCGCCAGGTCATGGCCGCTCGAGACGGTCACCTGGGCATGGTATCAGCGCAAAAGGGCCTGTTCGCGAATCATATGACGGGGATATTGAAACGTGGGCGTTAGTCCGTGGAGGATGCCGCATCCTCTCATGACAACATCTCGATGTGTGCACGCTGCGTGTTACGGTTTTTGCTTTGTTAAGTTTTTCAGGTTCGTTGGGCGAAAGTTAATCAACCCCACGAGTACGCGTATCGTGATCGAACGATCTTGGCGACGCTATTGGAGAACGCGCAAGCCTCTACGGAGTCGGACTCAAAGAGATGGGAGGGACGGAAAGGGGGATGCGAGATGTTTGATTCCAAGTGTTGTTTTCCTCGCGGGTAAGGACACGATGCCGAAGAAGGCATCGTACTGCTACAGAAAATCATGCAATTCTGGCTCGGCATCTTTCACCGCATCCACCGACATGCTCTCTCACAGATCTGACAATAACACTTCCCGCATCTTATCATACTGCGGACTCCCGAGTCCCGAAGCCATATCCCATCCCGGACCCGCTGGGAAGCCATCCATACCGCCTCCCGGATTGTATCTCACAAGAATATCATTGAACATCTCCGGATTGTCGTATATGTCCCAGTTCAAAGTGCCAAGTGGTTCTTTGCCATCCGCCAATCGCTCGTCATTGATCATATTGATCACGCTGGCAAAGCCGGGTGCAGAAGCCGACGCACCACTCACAGGTCTCGTGGTATTGAGAATCACTACTGGGTAGTTGACGCCAATGACTGCGACATCTGGGTATGCGCGACCTGAGCGATTATAGCGCCCTTCTCCGTATGCCGGTGCTGAGTTGGAAAGCCAGCCCGAGACAGCGTCGTCCTGGTAGCTTGGGCGGGGAAAGACGTTGGAAAATCCACCGCCGGAAAACGTGGCTGCCATTTCGCCGCCGGCAATGGTACCATCTTGCAATGTTGTGGCGCCGACGCAAAGGACCTATTGGAAATGAGTATAGCTGCAAAATGAGATTGAAAGGACGAATGAGTGGATGCTTACATAAGGGCATGTGCAAGGGAATGATGGTGCGAACTGCTGGTCGGAAGACCCAGCGCCAATATCTCCTGATGCGGCAACGATGGTGACGCCTTGCAACCCCAGCTTCATGTACTCGTGACATTGGCGTTCAAGGTAAGCACGAGAGAGCTGGCTCTCCAAAAAGCTGTATGAGATGGAGATGACGTTGCTCATTGGCGCACCTCCGCATGGTCCGTTCTTTGTGCCTTCTCCTTCATCGTTTTCGGGGAATCCCGGGCCAAGGTACTGCTCGTTGCCGCCCGGGTGGGTACAGTATGTAGGATCCTAGCTACGTTAGCTGTTGCTGCGTCACGTGGAAGATAGCAAGATACTCACCAACGCGTCCAGAAATAAATCGAAACCGTTAATAAACTTCGACTGGCCAATTTGATAGAATCGTACTTTTTGAGGGTAGATGATGGAGGTCGAGGCCTGAACGTCCAAAGCAGTCTCACCTGTCTTGTCAGCTTCTGCCAGAGACAGATCTCCGGGTTTGCCACCATAAACGTAGACGGATTCTGGCTCAACATCCAGGGGAATCCGAGGGGACGTCCAGTTTCTCAAGTATTCTTTGAAGTCTGGAAGATAGAGATAGTTACCAAGCCCGAAAATACCAAGCTCATTTCCGGTATTGTTGTGACTGGCAACGGGAACGCCGTACAGAGCGCGGAAGCAATGGACAGTAAAAAGAATGTGACAGGTCGACAGGTCATCCGCACCACCATGGGCAGTGATATGATCAGCAATAGCCATGGGCTTCGTCGCTGTTTGTACATGAGCCATTGGACGTAAGCCGTCGAGCTGTATTGTGGGCGTGATGTAGTCGACATGTTCGCGAACGTGCTGTGGAAGTTTGTAGTCGTCGCATGCCATGCGAAGACCGCCAGATTCCTTTTCATGGAAGTTGTAATACTTCGTATGAAATAGGTCCTCAACCTCACCAATAGTGGCTAGGAACATGATCCAATCCCGTCCTACGTATTGTCAGTTCTCATTCTACTCGGGCACGATAGGTAATGACATACTAGCTGAGAACGTGATGCGACTGTCCTCAACTCCAGCTGCATGGAGCCAGTCGAGAGTCGCGTTTGTCGTTGTTGGATGAGGCTCAAATGTACTGTGGACTCGCTCGGCCGTCCAGCGCTTTCCTATATGCTATGTAAGTATACCACATAACGGACGGGTTCAGGTTTACGTTACGGAAATTGGGTGAGGTTCGATTATGCATGTCTTGGAGTGAGAGTTCGCCATGCTTCAAGTTCTGCTGCTTCAGCGCGATTCGCACCGGCAGTACTGCATCCCTTGATGCACGTGAGTCTCTATCCCAACCTATCGGGTCCGCCTCTCGCTTCTCGTGGACGACGTGAGAGCCAACTGGGAAAGCGGCAGCTATGGTGCTGAGCCAAAGGAGGAGTACTACTAGGAAGCGCATCGTTTCCAAGATGTACTGGGTCTGTGTTAAGTTGTGTAATGTTCTGTAAATCTGTCTAAGTCTGTGTGACTTTGTATGAGTTGTGATGAGTTTGAAGAAGAAATGAAGGTGAAAGTGCCATTCATCTTATACTACTCTAGATGATTTTTTTCATGCTGATTGTATATACTGTACCTTGGTTTACGAGATCGACTACCACAGTACTACAGTGGCAAGTTGTGAATGCCCTGTTGGCGATTGGTCCTTGCAATACCACGGTACCCTCAAGCGAAAAGCTGGACAGCCATAGTTTACGGTGTGTATCCAAAAAAAGTTGATAGGGCTACATTGCCTTGATATGTCTCAAACCTTACGTTGTTGTAGTAATGTAGGCTCCAGAGCACCTGTTCAGTTATGGTTAGGGTCACGCTTATGGTCAGAGCCCACAACGAGACACCTCAAAAGTTTGAACGAAAAAGTTATTAGATAATAGAATGATTAGCACGACCGCGATCTCTGACCGGGGCCACGTACCCGCTGAAGCGATAATAGATTCATTACAATAACGCTATGTACGAGCTGACCACTGCTCTGTTGACGCCCAACAATGTATGCCAACATCATGTGCCCATATGCACGATGGTCTGAGCCCAAATCAGTATATACCGAAGTTTAGCAGCACCCGCCCCAGCCCTGTTGCTTTCCCTTTTTACTCGCGTCATTCAGGTTGACGCCTGCCCTATTCGCTCCGCCTCCCGGCCCCTTGACTCCACTCCTTCGATCGTTCAAGTCGTACTTGCCAGCTTCTATATTTTGGTATATCCGCTCTGCGACTTCCAAAAAGGCTTGTTCCACACCTTCTCCGCTCTTGGCGCTCGTCTCGACGTACTGCATGACGCCATTCGCTTTACACCACTCCTCAGCCTCTTCTTTTGTGACTTGTCGCTTGTTCGCGGCGTCCGAATCAGTTACGGTAGACGACCCCGCGAGATCAGACTTGTTGCCCACGAGCACCACGACGATGCCTTCCTCGGCGATTTGCCGCAAGTCGTGCAACCATGACGTGGCGGAGAGGAACGTGTTCTTCCGCGATATATCGAATACTAGCAGCGCGCCCGATGCGCCCCGGAAATAACTTCTCGTGATGCTCTTGTACGTCTCCTGACCTGCTGTATCCCATAGCGAAAGCTTCATGTGCTTTTGCTCCTGCTTTTGTTTCGACGGCGATACGGGCGCTTGTGCTTGTGAGGATTTGGAGGGGTTGTTGATGCTCAGGGAATGCGATGCTGGTGGGCCGACAGGAACGATGCGCGATCCGAACTCTACGCCGATAGTTACGTCGTGGTGTGGTGAGAAGCGGCCTTCGCAGAGGCGAACTGTTAGCTGGGAGGCGTTAGCATGGAGGCCCTGGGTAACGGGGATGGTGTCGCATACACTTGATTTACCACATCCTGAATCGCCTAACGATACAATCTTCGCTATGTAGTCCCACGGCTGCGCCATGGTGCTTTGTGACGCCGTGTGGCTGGTGTAGCAGTCGACCCGAGGTGCAGGCTTAGGGCGGTGGTCACGGCAAATCCACTAGAGGTAGACGGATATGTATAGGAAGACGGTATTTATTGTTCAGAATGTATGTAGAATAAAGTAGTTCGCAAGTTGAAGCTTTGGGTGTGTCTGACAGGAAGCCAGTTGGACGATAGTGCGTGAGTGAGATAGGTCAGGGTCCCGGCCATGCGGTCATAGCTCAGCAGCTGCTTGAGCCACAGTCGAAGGATGCGACCCATGGCAAACGTGAAAAGCATGTCGCGATTTACTTTGCGCAAGCTTCGGCTCCATGCCATCTTGCTTTTCTCTGTAGCTTTGATTGATTGCCACTACGAAACATGAGTCTGACAAGCAGGAGGTCGGGTTGCCTTGACTCGGACAACCATTGTCAGGACAAATTTGCAGACAAATGAGCACGACTAGAAGAAGATAAAAATGTCTGCAGACCCGTAGAGACAAGTTTACCGAATGCTTTGCATGTGAGGTGGAGCATTGATGGGGGCTAGGGAATAGCGCGTGCCTTGCATGTTCACGAGGTACGTGAGCCCGACAATCGATAACCCGACGCGCTGGCTTGGCACGATGATGAGATGAGCGACCATCACTCCAGCGCACCCGGCCAGCCACTCAACTCACTCACCACCTAGGCGGGCTAGAGCTCCCTGCTGTCCTATTGCTACCGCCCTACCACCGCCATCTCTACCATCTCCAGCTGGCCACTGCGCACTCTGCCGGCCCCCAGCTGCATGTCTCTTAGGCTGCGTCATCCGCGGCTGCCTCTTGTACTCCGGTACCCTTGCGCTCGACCGCCTCACGACCGCTGACCTCGCACCTGAGCCACCTTCGCTTCGGGACTTTGCTCGCGATAGATATACCTGGCCGCCATCGCCGAGCTCATTAGGCATATACACATCTATCGCGCACTTTATCTATCATGTTCTCTGAATGTAAGTGGACCTGGTGCCTTATCGGGGTACATGTGACAGATCCGCCGCCTGTGTCTTGAGCAGCTTATGGACTCGCGTGACTGACGTGCGTGCTCCCCAGATGCATCCAAGTTCCTCTCCCAGTCTCAGTCGCGGCTGTCACTGGGCCAGCCCGAGCCGACTTCAACCCGCAACGCCCCCGACAGGCAGCGCCCGTCCTCGCGCGCCTCCCAAGCTTACCTCCAGCGTCGCAACATGCCCAACCCATACAACTCGCAGGCCATGAGCCGCTTTGCCTTCGCTTCACGAACATCCAACGCGCCCGCGCCACTCTTCTACTCCGCCACCGATGACTTTCGCGAGGAGGACGACCATGCCGAGCACGACAGGGACCTAGCAGACCAATACGCGCTGCAACGCTCGCGGCGGCAATTTGGCGCAAGCAATCTATCCGAGTCATCTGAAGTTGATGACGAACATGGCCAACGATCCGATCATACGATAGGTGCGGACAGGGACGAGAATGAAGCTCCAGGGTATGGTCTGGGGAGAGGGATTAAGAGCTCCTGGAAGGGCGACAAGCCAGCTCGCGGAAGATCGACCGTTATCAACAACCCAGAAGACGAGGAAAGAGAGTCAAGTGTGCCGCTCTCTGAGACTACAGACCGCAGCAGCAGGGGGAGAGGTCACCTCGTAGATGTGGAGCTTGATTCCACAGATCGGGGGAGTATAGAAGAGTTGGACCGAGACGAGCTCCTGGGTCACCAGGACGAACCACCGCCACCCTTCCAACAGTTTCGCAACATGCCGAGGCCGAAGCGCGGTCGCAGCCCACTACGAAACACCCTACCGATACCACAGGAAACAGACGAAGACACTCTGCTCGAACACCCACGCCCAATAAGTCCGGATCGCCAGACTGTCCCCGACGACGTACCAGAGAACCCGACATCGGCGCCACGACACAACTTCTTTTGGGCTGAGCTCTTCATAATCGTGCAGTGTGCCATCTTTGGCACATGGATCATCTCTTTCCTCCAAGAGTCGCCACCGAACAAGAAGAACCCACTGGGCGACACGATATATACTGTTCTACATTCGTCGTTCCACCTCATCGGTGTGTACACACTGGTTTCGGTCATCGTCGGAGTCCTATGGCTATCGCTACTTCGGTCCTTCGCTCGGCCCTTGGTGCAGTTAATGTTACTGGCGGTACCAGTGATATCGTTTTCCTTCTTTGTATACCCTTTCGCATCAAGCTTCAAAGGGTCATGGCATGGCGATAGCGTACAAGACCGGCTGATGCGCTGGCTTTCGTTTGGGCCCTTGTGCTTCGCTGGGTTCTGGGTGTACACCATCTTCAAGGCGCGACATTCTTTAGACAAAGCTACAGGCATGTTGGAGTTCTCAAGTGAGATCCTGAGAGCGCAATTCCCACTGCTACTCGTGGGTATTGCAACACTAGCTGCTGTGATACTCTGGGCGTGGATATGGATCCTCATGTTCACACGTCTATTCCTTGGCGGCCATTTTGCTAGCAACAAGTCCCGATGGATCATCGATGCTAGTACGTGGTGGCTTGGTGTTGTATTCTTCTTGGACTTTTTCTGGGGTTTGGCGGTCATTGCGGGTGTGCAACGCGCCACGACGGCAGCCACGGTATCTCAATGGTACTTCCACCGCAACAGCGTGCCTGCACCTGCGGCTAGAACGGTGGTCCAAGCCTCTCTCACTCACGCGACCTACACCATGGCCGGCACGATCTGTTTGTCAACACTGATCTCACTCCTGGTCCGACTTCCCCTCATCGTGCTTCCAAGGCGACTGGCGGGTATGATTGGCATGTGCGCATATTCAGTCGTGCCGACGCCCATCGCTGCGTTGACGAACCCGCTTACCCTGACCTACGCTTCCATTCACGGTGTGCCTCTCAATCAAGCAGCGCGCGGTCTGTCACAGATGAACTTCATCTCCGCTGCTTCGCCAACCACAACTCTCGGCCCCTCCTCGTTCAAGGACCATGGCCGGCCATCGATTCAGTCATACCGTCTGGCAAAGTTGCTTCTCCACGCCATCCGCTGGGTCATAACATTGTCTCTCGGTTTCGGTGGATGGGTCTCAACTGCACGCATGCTCCAAGTCGGCGGGTCTGTACCATACAAGGGCAGTCTATACGCATACGTCGTGGGTCTCATCAGCGCGGCAATCGGCTGGGGCGCTCTAGGCGCTATGGAAGGAGTTCTCGGCGGTATCCTGGACGCAGTGCTTGTGTGCTGGGGTAGTGAAGTAGGAAGCGACGGGCAAGGAGAGGCTCGGTACTGTGTTGACGCCGGACGGTTGTTCGGCAATGAGGTCACTGGGCAAGGTCGAGGAAGATACGAAGTCTAGAGCATGTTTTTTGTTTGCATCATTGGCGTTCAGCACCAGAAGAACCTGGATAACAGATACGGTCATGGCGCTTGGGTATACCTATCGTTCATCCTTTTCAAATCGCTTTTGCTATCGGCAATAGCGCTCGTATAGTTTTATTCAACTGAGATTGTTATGCAAGTCATTTGTCCATGATCATCGAGGGAGGACTTTTCCATGCGCTTACAGTAGTAAGTAGGCGTAGGCGTAGACATTGTTGTACGCTGATCACGTCACGGCTGGATGCGGCACGCTAGCCGGTGACGCTCAGTCCCGGCTCAAGCACAAAGCACTCCAGGGCTCCGACTTCCCTTCAACCATCATCTTTCTATTTTCTCCTACGCTCTCTACCAGAACATACGTGGTGTGGTTTTCTATTGGACTGGTTCACATTGTCGAATACGATGATGAAGTATCAAAACTCTTGGCGCTCGGTGCTGCACCTGTGGCAAGATGTCAAAGGGACGTTGTAGCTACAACTGGGCATGTATCAAACGTTGACATAGTACACAGTAAATTATACGGCATTTATTCGTTAAAAAGGCGTATAGAGACAGAAGTGAGTGGCCGTCGGAGGCGCGGCAGACTGTCACGATGCCAGGTAACTAGAGCGGCGAACAGTAGAGCTTCTTCGTACGGGTCGGTCTACTTTTGACACCTTAATGGCGACATCAGAATTACAGTCACGCGACGATCGCTACCTATACGTATTTCGAGCCTGTGGCCTCTGCGCATGTTATGTGGAGCAGTCCCTCGGTCCCACCTTGTTGACAAAGAACTCACGTCTGTGCTGGGCACTGCGTAACCCTCTATGAACCCGAGCTGACGGACGACTGTCATCGAAGGAGCCCTACGTGGAGACGTGCATCCGAGTACCGGAATACTAGCCCACCTAGCTCCTATCGATGAGTGTACTCCGCTAGTAGAAATGTGTTCGATGAGTCTCTCGAGCCCACTTTCCCGCTGGCTAGATCTCTCGGCGTCCTAACCACAACATGGTGACCGATGTAGAAGCCGTACAAACTCGCTTGACGCGGCAGCAAGTCATCGCGAACCTCGCACAGCCCACGCTGCGGATGCTGGAGGTGGTACACTCTCCGTATGACTATGAAGACCAGTGTCATCGACAAGCATATCCGCTTCGCTCCGTCATGCGATGACTGTATTGATATGTAGCTGATATGAAGAGTCATGTTCTGGGAAGGTATAAAAGGTCTCCAGGGCGGGCGGCTTTGGACTCTATAACTCTTTCACATAATTACCCAAGCAAACGACCAAAGTCTTTTGCACATCATCCTATTTACCAATTTCGAGTCTCGAGATCAACAGTCAGACCAGAAAACGACCTCCCACCATGTCGAGTCAGGAGCGCAACCAGGAGCATGCCACGAACCTTATCGTCATTCATGATGAATACGGGCAAAAGCTGTGGGGCCCTTTCAGCAACTCAAAAGAGCATCTAGCAAGCGAGATGGAAGTCTTCGTCAATAGGATACGAAAAGCGGCCGGCGGCCCTGTACCCGACAATGTCGTAGCCGAGTGGAAAGAGAAAATAGTCCCCGCTGTGGAAGAACTTATCAAACAAGCTGAAGTCCCTGACTTGGAGCAGAAGCTGTGGTGGTATCTCGTTGATCACCTTGATTTCGATGACACTCTAAAGACAATATCTCTCAAACAAGGATTTCAGAAGGACACAGCCATAGCCATGAAGAGGCTCGCAGCAGGCGAGGAACTAGGAGAATACAAGTCTATGAAAGAACCATCGCCTGGATATGGACCTGGGATAGACCTTTACTCCGTCAGCGTAAGAACAGTACGGACGGATGAGCTCGATCGCCGGCGTGTAAGGGAGATTGAAGAGGTCCAAAAGAGGTTAATCGCTCCACCAAGATACCCCCTCGATGACATGAGCAAGTTGTGGGACCGAGATTGGCGCTTTCAGAATTATGCCGAGCATCAATATTACGACTCTCCGTTGGAGGGCGACGTCGAAGTCTTCGTGTCCAAAGTCAAGGCTATAGCGTACGCAGAAAATCTGGCGGAGGGGATGACGGAATATGGCCCAGTCGAAACGGATAATATCGTAGCTCTGCATCTAGGCGAGAGCGAGTCCCGAAAGATATACGAACTCAAGTCCGAAAGGATTTCTGACTTGGAGTTGCGGGGCCTACCTTTCTTTTACAAGCTGGTAATAATCACCCACTCTCACGTCTGCAAGGAGCACAGAGCCGATTTGTCGAAACTCGAGGGGTACCCGGCCAAACGTTGATCACGGTTCTTTTGGAAGTCATCGACATGGGGTTCTGCACACTGTCTTTCATTGGAGGATTCTCGTGTTGCAACTGTACAGAGGCTTTTGGGCAATAATTCTAATGTGAACCCTACAATTTAGAAGTCTCTCGCTCTAGTGCGTGTGAAAATATTTCTTTACTTCGTCATTGAAAATACGTTCAGATTACGGCACTTCGTGATCCATTCTTCAAAGTCCAGAAGCCTTTGTGGGAGATGAGCGGTTTAAAAACAACAGGTCCGAAGACGTGTTCGAAAACGTGGACGAAACTTTCATATCGGCGGATTAACCTAGGTTTCTAGATGTTCTTCGAGGAGGACGCAGCGGGTGCAACACGCTTGACTACCCGTACAGAGAGCGGATTGAGTTAGATTGGCATGGCTGTTCTTGCCATGAAATCCTACACAGACAGCGCTTACTACGACCACTGAGATAAGAGAGGATCATAATGAACTAGAATGTATACTAGGTCACGAAGGTGAGCGTGAATAGGAAGGAAACTTGGAAGTATGTGTTCAGGTACCCAGGTACCGGAGGATGCGTACCTAGGTAGCAAAACCGGTGTCGCAATGCCGCATGCGCAGACTCTGATTTGATAACTCTACAGTGTACAATAGCCACATTTTCCCCGCATAAACCATAACCTCTTGAAAGTACCTAGGTAGGCGTCTGCGTACGATCCTACTTGCAAATGACGCGACGTGGCTCAATTAGGCCAGCGCGAAGGCGCGTAGCTCGATTTGACCTGCCACCTGCGTGCAACAACACCAGAACCATATACATGAACATCACGACACGCTCTCACGACGTGATTACCATTATCTACACTGCGATAGCTACATCGATAGCACGATCCAGACGGAGAGATACCGGAAACCCCACCGCACTGCATATATGAGGAAGTGAACAGTGCGTTTCGTTAAGACGTTCTGGTACCGCTGCCATTGAACCATGAGAAACCTTCTTCACACGCGAGGCCGGGGTAAACTGTCAGGTTTCTGTACTGTTACTCCGAGCTCACAGTCATGGCCCTGACTAATGCGTGCGTGCTACGGGGAAGCGGTTGCACAACACGATCCGATCCCGTTATGAGAACAAAGGGACCACGTCTGTGCTTAACAACTACATGACACATTTGTCGATCCAAGTGGGCGCGACTGTTACTGACTGAAATTTAGGTGGAGCTTTGTACGACGTACGTTGAAGTTGTCCCGCACTGGGCTTACATCGCGGACTCAGTTTTGGTGAATCACCCAGCATATTACTGGCTGCCCACATGCGCGAATTCACTAATCCCTGAAGATATAACTCGAGAGAATCCCATAAGATAAAGCCGCGGCAAAGGTTACGCGCTGCCTTGAGTGTCAAACGGTCCTCGCTCCGCGCAATGTACCCGCAAAGTCTCGTGAACCGTGTGTTATCTATATGACTAACGAGCTACTTCGCGACTCACAGCATCATGAAATCATCTTCATGCAACTCATAGAAATTGCGGCGTTAAATCGTGGAGTCACGCGTTAGGACAGTATAAAAGGCTTTGAAGAGCGTCTGCCTCCATTTCTTCAACAATCTTGAAAGTCCAAAAAGTCAAAACATTCTGTACACTCCTCTGCTACTGTCAAATTATCTCTCTATTAGCCTTGCCTCAACTCCGCAGCAATGTCTACTCCCCAGAAGAACCAAGAAGACGCTCTCAACTTTCTCCTAGTGGAATATCTTCACCTCAGGGAACGAGGTGGATGGGCTTGGCGAATCGGGCCATTTCTCCAGTCGACGAAATACAGGGAGCAAGAAAAGGGAGCACTCTGGGATGAAGTCATCAAACTGATACCCCCAGGCGAGACAGCTCATCAAGGCACTGTCAATGACGACGACCTCAAAAATGCATGCAAGGAGCTCTTCGAGACGCAGACGCCCCAGACGATAAAAATGAGCATTCAGAATGGAACGCAACTACTTCCCTTCCTCGGACTCCACTTCCAGCAAAGCTTCGAGAAAGAAGCCACCGATGCAGTAAAAGCACTGTACGACAAGGATGAGGGAACGTACTGGAAACTGCCCCGGCGCCCCGGGGGTCTCTTAGGTCTGGATTTGTTCGTGGTATCAGAGAGACTCGTACCATGGCAACATATTCCAGATGGCGCATCCGCAGCAGAACGCATTTGTGGGCCTGATCGTACCCCCTGGGGATATGATACCTATGATAAAGAATTAGAGAGGATGGCACAGGAAGAAGCTGGAACTCGGCCGCGTCGACCTAAACCAAGCTATTCCAACTGGAATCGCAAAAGTCTTGCGTACGAATACGTAGGCGACCTGGCGATATTCGTTACAGATGACGAAGCCGAGGCATATGTGAAGGGCCTCCACGCCGATAAGCGAACAGAGTTCAACACCATCACGGAAACCGAAGCGTTAGCAAAGAGGGTTCCGAATGAAATCTCAGTATATGAGATACTAACCCCGAATGCGGGGGCGCCTGAGACTCGTCTCGTTACCATCCACGAAATCCATTTCAGCATGGACCACAGAATCGACATTACCAGAATTTAGTTTACACAATGTCAGGTTCTCGGGGCTGTTGTAAGGCCTTTTCCTTTGCTGAAATTTGAAGACCTCGGATGATGTCTGGGATGAGCATGCGGACGATTGGTGGGAGACATCGGGTATGAAGCTACTACCCGGCCAATGTGTACGATGATAGATGTCATTGGAAGGAATGCAATCTAGCATGCTCTGCAATCTCTTTACGCCTATATACTAAGTGAAGCAGCAATGTTTCCCCGCTGATTAAGTACTGACCGGAGACCCTCAAGAAGGGGTCTCCGTGCGCAGTGGTCGCGGGCAGATGATAGGTGATATGAATGACGCTGATATCTCTGTAGAGGCTCTTGCGATGACGCTTCATGCTTTTAATACTTTACAAGAGGACAAGGTGGTAAATGCCCGACTATACCAACGATCGAGGCTCAAAAGTCCCAGCTATCAAGGTAGATCTGTGCGCTGCGAAAGGTATCACAGAGGTCTGTGTGTGCGTTGGTGCGTAACTGTCGAGGATGACTCACCACCTGTATAACCTCACATTCAAACACCCTACTCAAGTCGTCTCTAAAGTTCTGCTTTTGTATCCATCATACACGCGACATCAAGATTAGCAAACCTCATACCCTCGCAGAACTGGCACGAACATTTCGTAAGATGGCTGTCGACCAAGACCTCAACCCAAACAAGGACCTCGTTTAGTTAAAAGTAACTTACCCCAATAAGATCGATCTGATTGGGCTCTACTCGACAACCGATTACGATCTTCACGCGGCACAGAAGCGTCTCTTCAAACTCTGCAAACTCAACATCGAAGGGATGAACAAATTCCTACTTGCAAAGATCAGATATGACATCAACAAATTGGACATCAACTTACAAGGTCTCAACAAGGGTCTGTCTTTGACGAGCAATCAAAACCGCGTACCTTTTATGGTCCGCAGCTTGCTATCATCCAGCGCTGAAGCTGTGAGACATATTCGCAAAGAGGAAGTAAAAGGAGAGAGAGCGGTTCTATACACTGTTTACTCGTGCAGCATGCGCAAAAAACTGGTGATGAACTGTCATGAATGCTTCGCGCCATACGGAAAGGTGAAAGACATGCTGGTTTGGCCTTGCAAGCAGGGAAAGGGTGGTGTCGAAACTCATTTGAGCAGCGATCGCGCTCAAGCCTCGTTATTGTTGAATGCAGGCGAAGAAATGAGGGAGCTAAGCCAAGCCGTGCCAGACAAGGTGGAATGGCTTGACGAACATATGAGTGAGCGGCAGGTTATAGTAGTTCTGAGGGTTGTTGCGAACGATGCGGATGGATAGTTGGGATTGTCCGGGGGGCAAGCCTTCCTAATGATACTACCTTTGAGTCAGCAAAGCGGTGTCATATTGAAGTGACGGTAGCAATGACTCGATATATGACTAGAAGGGTTGCAACTCATTGCTAGTGACTCACTCTTCAGTATATAAACTGAGAACTTACTGTTCATTCAATTCCCGTACCAACATTGAGCTTTCAAAACCGCTAACTCCAACGAACTCTAAAAGCATCACCACAGTTCAACGAAGTCTCTCAAGAAGTACTCAACACCATGACAGACAATTCGGAAGACGTATACTACTGGGTCTTCTCCAGGTACGCCAAAAATGAATGCGCTGGCATCTTTGGCGATTCAGACGAAGAGCGAGAGTCCATGAGAAAGACCATACACGACCTCTGCGCATCCGAAGAAAGGCGCGGACATAGTCTCTCCAAAGAGGATATCGATCTTGGAATCAAGAGCGCTTTCGATCAATTCGATGGGGATGACGACGACGCAAGGGTGTACGGCCCAAAAAAGGACAAGACTGGTCAATTCTTGTTTGCCATACACAGGGCAAGAAACCGCGGTGAAGGCGTGGCGGATGCACTCAGACAGCAAGATCCGCCTACTATATATCAGTACAAAACCTTTCTCGCTGAAGAACTCAAGAACAAGGACGAGAGTCTTTTTTCCCCCGACCTCTCCCAAGTTGAGCAACGCAACAAAATAGGTCCTTACATCACGCCAGTCAGCGGTAATTATCTGGTAGGGGTGGATTGGGCCACATTCACTTCTAAGAGAGATGCTAGAGAACATGCTTCCAAGGAAACCTTCAAGCGAACGAAAGAATTGAGTGGTAAAGGATTCCGACTGGGCTTGTGGACGGAGTTTTGGATCGGTATCGTGACACGAACAGACCCCTTGGAAGGTCGGGACTACTGGTTAGAGATGTTTGTTGTATCAGAGTGGAAGCGCGACAAGACTTGTGGCAAATGGATACAGACAGACATAAGAGAAATAACGCCTCGTCATGTTGAGAAGGAACTTGACTGCAACGGAGGCGGGGACTCACCATCAGAAGACTCGTCCTCGGAAGGTCCATCGCTGGTGGATTCATTGCCACAAGACTGATGAGTGGAGGACAACTTCATTTATTTGTACCGATGTTGTGCAGTGAGGTAGGATTGACGCGTCCAAGGCGTAATGTAATGTAGGGGCCTACGTAGTTAGAACTTATCTTTTTCGTCAATCTGAAAGTGGTAATCAGAGTGAACCAGTTCTACGAAGACGGGAGTGCTGTGGGTGATGCTCATGATGAAGCCAGCATGCCTGCGTCATGGCTCGGTTTGTGGCTAGCGCGAGTCGACGCGTAGTGAAGCGGGACCCGATCAACACGGCTACTGCAGCCCAAACACGACTCGGCGCAGCGAACAAGCAACACCAAAGCACCCCGGGCTCCATGGAGTGCCCTGCCCGCCAACATGTCCTCCCGCAACGTGCCCACGATGAAGTCGCTGTCCGGCGCTGATCGCCGCTCCGTCAATGCCAACTACACGTCGAGTGCGCGACCCCGCGTCGCTTCTGGAGAGGAACTCGACCGTCGTAGCTCGACCACCGCAGCGTCACATGCCAGGAAACAGTCAGCACCCATGCGCGCGACAGGCGCGACTTCGGGCGAGCGTCGCGTAGAGAAGAAGGAGGTGCGCGAGCGGGAGACGGAGATCAGGCGAACAAAGAGCCCGTTGAAGCATGCCAGTGAAAGCAGGGCGAATGCGCGAAGCCGCTCAGAGAAACTCCCGCGCGACGTCGACCGGCCCTCACGCAGCGCCGCCTCGCAAAAGTCTATCCCCGAAGAGCCCCAGATGCCGTGGGAACCGCAGGCTTCTCTGATACCACACACGACCGCCCCGCTGGCGACGCGCATCTCGATACCTCCGCTCGCATCCACCGCGCCTATATCGCTGCAGCCCACACCGCTCGCAAAACTATCGCTAGAAGCACAGGAGAAGGCTATACTGGAGGATCTGTTGTTTGTGTTCATGGGATTTGAAGGACAGTACATTCGATTCGGCGATGGCTACAATCCCCACGAAGAGAAGGAACGTCTGGTAGGGCCACAGTTCCGTCTGATGCCCGGCCTGGACCCTAGTCTGAGGGATCTGACCAAGTCGATGCTGAAGACTGCCACGCACTACATTGCTGTCGAGACATGCGTCGAGGTGCTCAGTCGGGAAGAATACGGTGCCGTGAACCATGCGTTGTGCGCAGCTGTACGGCGGTTGCTCAAGGACTTCCTCATACTTGTCGCCCAACTTGAGCACCAGCTGCTGACGAACGAGTCCTTCACTCTGCACGTCTTGAGTCTGCATACCAAACAGACTAGCCACATGCTCTTCCAGCTCTACACCACCGGGATCGAGCTGCTGAAAGCTAACGGCATCCTGGAAGACGAGAAAGATGAAGACTCGGCCGATGATGACAGCAACGACTTCGAAAACATCTTGGAGTCTTTGCGCGAAGGAGGAAACGCTGCCAAGAAGCTCTGCAAAGGCGGGAGCGTGCTCGGACTCATCACCAAGCGGCTATCGTCCATGTCGGGAGATCCAGCGGCTCGCGCACTACTGACCACACTACTACGAGAAGCTAGCAGACCGTATATGGCTATGTTGAACGAGTGGCTACATCACGGTGGCATCAAGGACCCGCACTCTGAGTTCCTGATCAAAGAGCAGAGAAGCATCAAGCGAGAAAGATTAGACCAGGATTACACAGACGAGTACTGGGAGAAGCGATACACGATACGCGATGCGCTCGTGCCTCCGCAGCTTGAAGCCGTCAAAGACAAGGTGCTCCTGGCAGGAAAATACCTCAACGTTGTAAGGGAGTGCGGAGGCGTCGACGTTAGTAAAGTCGTCCAAGACGCGCCTACCAGCTTCGACGATCCGCGCTTCTTAGACAACGTGAACTCCTCATACGCATACGCAAACTCCTCGCTCCTCAACCTGCTTCTCACTACACACCAACTGCCGGCACGATTACGTTCACTAAAGCACTACTTCTTCCTCGATCGCTCCGACTTCTTCACCTACTTCCTCGAGATGAGCGAGCTCGAGCTCAAGAAACCAGCAAAGCATGTTAACGTCGGCAAGCTGCAGTCGCTATTGGATCTCGCCACCCGACATGCTGGATCAGTCGCTGTGGAAGACCCATATAAGGAGGACATCAAGGTTCAGATTAACGATACTGGACTCACGAACTGGCTCATGAAGATCGTCAATGTCCAGGGTCTCGATCAGGATGCTGCCACCGCTACGTTATCCAATTACACACCTGCGAACTCAGCGCCGATCACCGACGACACCAACATTACTGGATACCAAGCGTTGGTCTTCGATTACGCCATGCCCTTCCCTCTGTCATTGGTCGTCAGCAGAGTCACTCTAACTCGTTACCAACTGCTTTTCCGGTACCTACTGAGCTTGAAGCACCTCGAAACGGATCTTGCCAAGTGCTGGGGGGAACAAGGCAAGAATGCAGCCTGGAAGCACCGATCGAAGAACCCGCGAATTGAGCAGTGGAAACGCCGAGCGTGGACACTAAGAGCGCGTATGCTGGTGTTCGTTCAACAACTTACCTACTACTGCACATCGGAGGTCATTGAGCCCAACTGGGCATCCTTGATGTCGCGGATAAGCGAGGAGAAGAAGCAAGACGCAAGGGCCAAGGGGAAGGCAACAGAGGATGAGAGCGGCGGGCCTCAGGTGAAGCGTACTGTGGACGAGCTGATGCAGGACCATGTTGACTTCCTCGCGACTTGCTTGAAGGAATGCATGCTTACTAACAGTAAGCTGCTTCGAGTAAGTCGAGCCGCACTTTCATGGCCTATGTGGCTGCTAATTACCCCCAGATCAACAACAAAATCATGTCAACATGCAGCATGTTCGCGTCCTTCACCTACTCCCTCTCCCGCTACCTCGTCACCGGCGACCCCGATCTAGTCGCCCAGGTCAACGCCTCTTTTGCTCCTCCTCCCGCTAAAAATTCGAAGAACCCTGCTGCAACTCTAGTCGCTTCGACACACAGACCGACGACGCAGTTTGTATACGACCCCCAGCGCGTCGACAAAATGTTCGACATGCTAGCCAAGTACGAGGAGAACTTCACCCGGCATCTTAAGATCCTGCTGGATACACTAAACTACCTCGCTGCCACCGAGACAGTGGTCTTTTTGAGTCTTTGCGCACGGTTGACGAGTGCTGGAGAAGGTTTGAGTGGCTTTCAAGTGCCCATGGGTATGGAGGGTATTGCTTAGTAGGCTTCGGCCTCGTGGGCATCAGGCGTTGTTTCATGCATTGCATTATTCTGGGTTATTGGTATGGGTTATGGATTCAGTCTGCAAGGCGCCAAGCGAGCGATACCATAGTTGTTTGGAATGAGACGCAACGAATTACGGCCACAGTTGTCTAGTATCGAAGTGCGGTATCACATGGCATGTTTGGTGTATGAACGAGGCATTTGCTCATGTTCGAAGTAATTGGCACTGCCTACTCTACATGGACGCTTCTAGTACGTCTTGAATGGACACCCCTTGTCAGCACTCGAGCTCTTAGTTTTCTCCTTGACCAACTTCGTAGTGAAATCCATCAATTGCTCGCCCAGCTTCTCATTGTTCGCCAAGTCACTACCCGGCTCCCGAATCGCAGGAGGGCAGATGTACTCGCCGGTACCCTCTGTCTTGGTCGCCGCGTACATGGTGCTTACGCAACCCTCAAACTGCGTCTTCTTGAACGGCGCCATACCAACGCTCATCGCGTAGCCGCCCAACGGGTAGGGCTCGTGGATCATATCGACAGACTGCCGTGTCTCGACGAAACCGGGGTGTGTGGCGTTGGACAAGATGTTGGGGTGGGAAGTAGAGAGGTGATGAGCCAGGTAGCGTGCGTACAGGATGGAAGCGAGCTTTGTGCGGCCGTACTGTCCCATCGCGCCGAGGTCTTGATTGAGCTCCTCGAGAGATTCAAATTTGACATCCTTGGGCGCGCTCTCGTGTGCGTTAGATCCGAGTTGTACAAGACGAACCTTATTGCCCTTGTCGGCTGTGGACTTGATCAAAGGAAGCAAGTGGGAGGTCAGGACTGCATGACCCATGTGGTTGATAGCCATGTGTAGATCGACACCGTTCTTGGCGAGCTGATATGTCATGATACCTCTCGCAGCGTTGTTGATGAGGATATCAATGCGGTCTGTCTTCTTGGCAATTTCGAAAGCGACTTTGCCGGTTGCTTCCCAGTCTGAAAGATCGCACTTCATCCATTCGACTCTGCTGGCCTTGTCCTCGCCCATCTCTTCCTTGATGGCTTTGAGTGCATCGTCAATGATGTCTTCGCTCATGGAGATGATGAAGAGCTTCTTGATGTTGTGTGAGAGAAGGGTGTGTGTGCATCCATAACCAATTCCTTCTGAGCCACCGGTCACAACGGCGACCTTACCGCTCAGATCTGGCACTTCCTCGAGCGAAAACCGCTGGTCCGCAGGTGCGAGATCATGAGCGCCAGAGACGACCTTGCCGAGATTCTCGGCAATGGCGTTCTTTACTGACTGCATAGTCGATGATGTTTCAACTGGGCCTTTGAGACGGTCGTTATTGTTTGGAGGTGTTGACGAATAAGCTCTGGATGTAGTCGAAGTGATCCTGGCAGCGGATACGCGTGGTAACAATGATGTAGTTACAAAAGATGACTTGCAGCAACGCAGGGAGACGGCACCTCTAAATAACTTAGTAGACTGCATGGTTACAGCATGTGTCACAGGACAGCAGCATCCATCGTATTAGCACAAGATCTGAGGTCATGGTATACCGTGACGAGCCGCCTTCCGCGGAGCGAAAGCAGCCAATGCCATTTTGTCTTGATGTCAGCACTTTTTCCTTTTGGCGCGTTCCTGGATGTTGTGGAGCTTGCATCGGGAGCGGATCGTTGATGATCTCGTCATGACGCGTTGATGGACGCCTGCATGGCCTGCGTGTTGGCGAGGCTGGTGGTCTGGAACTATGACGTGTTGGGCATAGTGGGGGCGGTCGTTATCGATAACGGCGCGACTTCCGAGGTCAGCTTCACGCGACGTTGGTGGTC